ACTTTGGTGATTCTAACTGTCTTGACATTTGTATTGAAAATCCTGACAATTCTGGTGACTGACAGAGAGTTTTTTTGAGTTGCAGATTTTCTTCAATTGTAGAAATTCTACCCTTACTTTGCCCATCCACACCTTCACATTTGCATCAGATCAACCTTGCTCATCAATGATGCTGACAAGATATGTAAACGTTCCCTCATCCTTCAAGTGTGATTTGGTTAGTGCATGTTCTGTTATATCGAAGAAGTTTGCTTTTTCCCTTGTGAACTTTACTGGTGTAGAAACAGCTGCTACACTGATCGTCACCAAAAACATGTGTTGCTATGTGTGGGATAGAAGAGTTAGATCATCTGTGAATTTCAGTCCGTGCTTCCTTTGAGATTTTAACATCTTCATAATCCAGTCGACCAGTGGAGTAAGCAGCCTTGTTTGACGCCAGAACCACTAAGCACGAGTCTGTAAGCTTTCGTACATGCACGATCGATTATTAGTAAATGCATCCTGTTTATCTGGAAGTTGAACACCAACGGAATCTTTCATTCGGTTTGACCATAATGTGTTGGGTGCTTTCCCTGTGAATAGTGGGAGTGGGCATCAGCCTCGTGACTCGGAAGAAATTCCCCTATTATTGTAAGGCGTTATTACTCTTCTGAATGAAAACCGTCCAACTCCCAGGGTAGAGGTTAAATTGTTGAGATTACGGGTTCTTGTTAGCGAAATGAATTTCGAAGGTAGGTGGTCACTAACCTAAAGCCCAACTCTCTTCCTTTTTCCGGTCTTAGGAGTACTCCAGTTGGAGTTAAGCGTATAGTTGCCTCTAAAATGTCTTCATAATTGAAGTATTCAGGCACTTAGTAGATGATTAACACTATGCAAATATATCTAAGACATTTATCAACACAAAAAGTACCACTTTACAGACACAGCCACGACAACAGTGATTGTTAAATACAGCTTTAGTGAGAATAGCTGTCGTTAGAATTTTCATATATTTCCGATTATCTGTCTACGACTACACACATACTAATTATACCGTTCAATTATTTATTCATTCGTATTGCTAATTTCTATGTCGCCACCCATCGTTTACAATGACCAGATTTTCCACATGGTATTATTCATTAATCTCAACTCATTTCACTTCTAGCATCTAATTTTTTTTGCTGACTTTATGTCTCTTTTCAAACTTCCGTCTCAATTTCATTAACTGATGTGCGTCAATCTTATGTTTTTTAATGACTACAATTTGTTTTAACTTCACACTATAGTGAATTCAATATGAAACTTTTTAATAAAATGAATTCATTTTCTTCTATATATTGTGTTCTTCCCACATAGATAAAAATTAAACTAAAAACTATATACACATCGCTGTGTTAACGAGCTGCTAAAAGTTTTTACGCTCAACACAATGTACATTTTAGCTAGGTGTTCATTTTACTCTATGCTTGCTAAACATTTGATAAGTTAGTAGTATGAAAAATTTCAAAAAAGAAAAATGAACAATGTTCTCTACGGAAATAAGAAAAAAGAAACTTAACTTTGATATATATATATATATAACAGGATCCTAGAATGAATGTCATTTGCTTCCGCCTAGACGTAAGGCAAATTATTATTAACTTCTTACTTTTAGCAATTGTTGTCATCATTTCAAAGGATTATGTATGTATGTAATCAGGTATAGGTGTACATGAATTGAGTCTACCACAGAAAGTTAGTTTGAGAAATACCAAAGACGACCACAACTATTTAGAGTGAATGCTGACATTTTAGCGGTATAAACAAATACAGCAAGTCAATCATTTTACAATGGGTGAAAAATATTAAAACAAATGTTACTATACTTCACATTGATATGATTTATTAATAAAACCGTTCAGTTATCATAGAATAGTTCAGTTAATTATTTCTGTTATTTGTATAAGAGTACTTCAGTCTTACTTAAATTGACCAGGTTTTACTACCACTGATTATTACAATCTGTGATGGAACAAAACTGTACTGAATGGTGTTTTTTATTTTAGAAGAAACAGAATATTCATTATTTTGTTAAGAGCTTTGCAAAATGTTTTAATATATTTGAGACACGATTTTTAATCCTTTTGTTTAAGAAAAAAAACATTTCATTAATTTACGTTGTTCGAGTTACCTACTACAAGAGTTTGTCTTGTAGACTTTACAAGTTGTCAGATAGTGGTTAGGATGTAAATTATTGATCTACTTTCATGAATATGACTTCACTGTGGTCAGATGCTTATCTTGCATCAGAATAGTGAACAAATTAGGAGAAAAAAATATGTTTTAATTGTTATCATTACTTTTAGTTAGACTGACTATTATACTGGAAAATATTGTCGTTTTTTCCTCCTATCTGTATATATGATCAACAATAAATAAAACAGTATTATGTAAACTATTTATTGATTTATTCGTTAACACACACACGTACAAACACTGTGAAATCATGTTCACTGTCTGCAAGACAAAATCCTAGATGAATTGAAATCATAATCATAAATGAACAAATGAAGGGAAAGGAACATAAACATTGTTCATTCTCATAATAAACTCTTTTCTAATGAGATGAAGTGGCACAAAATACGTGTATTAGTAAGGTTTGTGAAGAAAATACTTTAAATCTGCTTTTTGTGAAAAGGAGCTTTAGTGATTACTATTTCATTGGCATCATAAGTAATGACTTAATTTACAAGTATAATTTCTGTTGTTTTCTAATGGTCAAATTACGTCTCTCATCTAATGTTTCAATGTTTAGTTTAAGCAATGAAACTGGATGAGATGGTTGAGTTGTTCATCATGACTACTATTGGGTGGTAAGCTCATCAGCTACACAAATTTTAAAGTTATTGTGTTAAACTAGTATTACCGGAAAACCTACTGACAATTGAGAAGCATGAAAATTTTATCCAATGCACAGTTGAAACTACTCGTCAAATGGTGTATTTGATTTGAATAAGTATGAATTTGAGGCTTACAAATCTCAAAACAACCTCACTATGCCATGAACTATTGAAATAAAAGCTTATAGCCCATTATTTATTACCCACTTAATTAATTTTAAGGAGGCTTTCATTAACTGTAGTTTGGATGCATTCATGAATTCGCAAGTTTAAAAGGTGAACCATCAGATTTGTTTCAGCTATTAAGCAGCATCATACTAATTTACAGTATGAAAAGTTTCAGTGTCATTCCATGATGCGTATTGTTGAACAATCTTGAGTTAGAAATCAATAGCATAGTAGTAATCAGATGATTAACAGGTTCCATTTCTGATTGAAACCAATTTCCAACTCATAAAATGTGCCTTATGAAATGACACGGTCAAAACCTTGATAAACTTAAAAGTCTGATAGGGCAGTACACCGTTATACAAATTCCAAGTTTCTTGCTTCACGTGATTTTGTTAAGCTTTTATTTCTGATAGTTAGCATCGTAACAATTTATAGATCACGATTTATTTGATGCTATGCTGTTAGTTATTTAATGTTCTTTAACTAATCCTAGTAGATTATGATGAATGTAAACCCAATATTTTTAAACGGATAAAGGCTTTTAACTTTATTCGCACAATTTATCAGTTTGCTTTTTAGTAAATAGGGTCATCTGAGTTTACTTAACTTGAAGGTATTGACAGCATACTCATGAAATTTTAAATAATGCATTTTAATTCGCTTATGCCATCAGTTTGCATTGGTGTAGAGCTCCTGACGGCAGCGAAATAGGTTTTGCTGTTGCTTGATCAATAAAGATTTTAGTTTGATGTCATTTTGTAATAATGAACAACATATCTGCCCTAATATTAACTACGGGGTGGGGGGTTTGAGATGAATTTCCTTACTTTCTTGTGACAAACCGTGAGCTTTAGTATCAGAAGTATTGTGAAGGTAAACATTTTCTATTGATGTTTGCGAATGATGTTGGAGGTGTCTTCAGCTGAATGAGTTTAGTATGAGAGCATCATTGAATTAGAATTCAACAACATATGGACATTGTACAGACCATAGAATCTGACAGGTATATCATTGAATAGTCGCGATGTGTGACAAGTCAACCGTTTAGTACTTAGTAGATTTTAACTTTACTACAATTGGAATTTGCGCGTGAAGAATAGTGTGATTGGAAAAACCTTAGTTAGTCAATAGACATGCCTAATGTTTGGTGGGTTGACAAAAATGTTACTGGGATTTACGAAACTGAAGTATATAACCTATCATCATTGTAGCTATAAAATTTGGAACAGGAAGAATAATATTCTAACTACCATCTGTCCAATGACTACTTGTATCTAAAATGCTCGTAAGTAAATCAAGCAGAATGTATGTATTGCCTCAAAAAACTAGTCAATGCTATTATGGACTGCTGCTGCATATCAGTTTGTTCGTACCTAACTTTCTTCTATCATGCTTCTTTGTAGATCACTGTTACATGTGTGCATCTTTTTTCACTAAGCACTAAAGTATGCTAACAATTATTCAGTGACATTCAGAATCAACTACTAACAAGCATTTCAAGGTGAATATATAGTTTATATGCTGTGACTACATTTGTTTTTATTTGGTAATCTTTTGATCAGGTTGAAGATTTGTACATTGATAATGATAAGCAGATTATACCGAATATATATTCATGTTTATGGATTAGCGCTTATTACACAAATATTAAATAATAATGATCTAGGAGAACTTTGTATGGTACATTATCAGTACACTGTCAGTTGACAGTGATACAGAAGAGATTGATGTATATTTATTTATGGCACAGTAACATATTCAAATCTTTTATGATATATTTTATTAGGATAGAAATAAATTGAAAATTATTGTTAAACAATAAGCGAACAAATAAAGTTGAACAACATGGAAATTTTTTTTCTTTTGTGTATGACATTGTGTTTGTCGACGATTGGTCAGTTCAAATGATCCAATCATTATCGTTCAAAATGATTAAACATTTGCCCAAAAGATTTTAAAACCCCGTAAAAAAATTGATTTAATAATAATAAAAAAATAAGAAGAGTGATTTTACTTTTGAGGATATTTTATTCAACATGGATAAGTATTAAATTGTGGACAATATTTATGTTAAAGTAATTCATTTAACATGAAATTTCGATATTAAATTCATCTATTGAATCCATCTTATTATTCAATGAACATGCGGTTTTGGAATAATGCATTATGTGGATTTTGTGCTTAGATTACGAAAGTTTTCACTGGCGTAAGTGGCATAAAAGGTTTTTTTTCCTCTGAAAGAGTCAATATTACCATTATGTTTTTGAGAAATGCTTTTTATTATATATATTTTTACTTGTACGTTTTGTTCGTTAAAGATATTTACAAATGAAAATTGGTTTGACATTTAGCTTCTCAACTAAAAACACAACAACATTATTTGAAAAAAAGTGTCAGCACCTAGTTTGAACTTCAACAAAGTAACGGTATGAATATTTAATCGTAGAAATCTTTCAAGTTAACAATGTTAATTGTTCCTAAAACTTACAAATTGCACTTAAAGAATGTTTTTAAATCGGATAATTTCATAGAAGCACTTGATAATAAAAAGCACCTCATATTTAGTTTGTACAATTATTATCATTTAATAGTTCCATTGAAGGTTTTTAAAAAAAACTATTTGTTCACATGAATATAATTTGGGATATGCTTTCATCTGAAAATCAAGATATCCTACCTAATATCTTTAAAGTTTATCAGAACAATACGCTAAATGTCAAATCTTTTACAACAGGAAAACGAAAACGTACGTAAGCAAGTAAGTAAGATAAGGAATTGTATTTGACTACACTGGTTACGAAATACTTTAGTGCAACATAATGTTGTCCGACGTACTGTCTGTTTAAATGAATGATCAATGTTTAATTTCTCCATGAACTGGGTCGGTGTGTTTAATGTCGCAAATATTGAATGTGTAAAATAAACTGAGTGAGAGTTAGAGAAAACTGGCTTTCATATTCAAATATTAGAAAAAACCATTAATAACTGGCTGACTCTATCAATGAGTGTCAAGTTTACAAATCATATTGTAGAAGAGATAATGAGTTACACTTTTGACATAACGGTTTGTCTCTGCTATTATACCAGCACACTGAAGTCAACAGTCATCTAATAAACTTATTTTCAATTAAATCATGCGTACATTATAAAATGAGAATTATTTTTTGTAATGAAAAATAGTAAGTCTACATTTCACTGATTTTAATTCTTGAAATAAAACCAGAAAAATAGTTAACTTATCACAGAAAGAGTTATTTATAATTAAAATCACTGAAATTTGTCAATATTTCTATGAATTATTTCTTATCCGTAAGATCTAATTTCATATGTACGTATCTATTAACTTAGGGTTTGTTTGAATGCTTGTCTTGTATCCCCTTTTTTGACATTTAAGTGTACAGAGAGTATCAAATGTTGTAAAGTACGATACATTATGTTTTTTTTCGATAACTGAGAGTAGTACTATCAAATAGATATACAAATTTTGAATAGATTTTATCAAATGAGAAATAGGAATTTAGGTTATTTTATGAGTTAATTGTTTTAATTAAAAGCTTTTAGCTTTCTTACTAGATTTAATTAAAACAACAACATACACATATATTTCAAACTTTTTTCTCTGTTCATTAGATCATTGAATAGGTTTCATACTAGATTGTAAAAAGAATATATATGAATAAGAATATCTCTCATTTTGATTGATTGTAAAAAGCTCCATTCAGAATCACTTAACGTTCATAGTTATTTATTTTAAAGAAGAATAATTATTATTTCAGTAATTGGGTATTTTCTTTTATGCTTGATTTTATCATAATCCACTCCATCTGTATAAGAAGTCAATCATTATACATTGAACAGAGTGTCGAATACTATTCAAAAATTATAGGCTGAGATTTAATATGTGAATAATTAAACTCCATGCTGACTCACTAATTGTTATAATGAACAGAAACAGATTGCAATCGAAATATTGCACACTTCTTTCAAGCATCATCAATGATGCTCAAACATGATTATTCATGAAATGAATGCTTAGATTTTGAAGTATTAATGGTCGTATATTACTATTTAATCAGTGAATACAATTAAAGCATCTGCTATTTCCTTTTAATATTTAATTCATATAGTTTACTAGGACTTACATGACAAGTAAATTGGTGTGCAGAAAAGGAATTTCACTCAAATTGGTCATACTACTATATGATAAAATTGAGTGACTACTGTCACATACAGTTAGTCAACAAATAATAATCAAATAAGTCAATAATATAATTGTCTACACGATATTTAAAAGTGACCTGATCAATCGATATTCTTGAGGAAGCCGTATAATATAATCGATTTTCGATGTTTTTTTAGCGCTACCATGACACTGATCACTGGTCTTAAATCTGAACAAACGATAATAATGACAATCAGAATTATGGGGAAGCGTTTTTTTTTTATATCTGATCTATTTCTGATGTTAATTCAAAGCCTATTCAAAAGTTGATGTTATTAAATGCCTATTATTTGTTAAATTCGAGTGCATCAATTAAGTTTTCTGTTTTATCTTGGAGGACAATTATTTATCTCTTATTTTATATACGGTAGATAAAAGCTTAATCAAGTCTTTTCATTTGAAAGCTTTCCAGATGACAAGGGATTTAAATCATCAGAATAATTTGAAAGAATTGTATGTACAGAAACAATTTGTTAGGTATCATTAAAAAATATTGGTTAGAGATGTGTTCATCTAGCTACTTTTCCCATGATTAATTACAAATGACTTCATTCTGACTTTAGTTTTTTTTCAAAGAACTCTGTTTACTATCTACCGGTGAATGTTTCAACGTTGGTTTCCATATCATCTCATATTAGTAAATATTTAATTTACTGTGTGCAGAAGAAGTAATTAATCAGTCAATATTTATCACTCTCTTACATTTGGTCACTCTTAAATCTTAAAAATTCCTGTTTCTTAATTATTTCAATGTCTAATTATGCATAAGTATCAAATATTCAGTGTCAATTTCAATTGAATGACCACTAAATAACTGTTCATCTGGCAGATTTATATATTTTATGTCTAAACAGAATTCAGCTTGCATTAATCACACGAAATATGCAAGATCATTTTATGTAGAAATAGGTGTCAATAAATGATTTACATTTTTATAAACAAAACTGTAGCAATACATTTTTAAATTTAGTCTCTGTCAATCAAATGCAACGAGAAATTTTCTAAAAACTAAATGGATCCACTATTGTTGATGAGAATTTCGTTCTCTAATTTTTATTTATTTGTAAAAGAAAGAATAATTTGAAAACTATTATTAAAAATAATCTTTTTGTTTAAATCTTCATTACATTATTCATTCATTTTGAATCAAAATAATATTCAATAATAAATGTACATATATGTACAAATATGAAATTCTCAACTTTTTATTGATATCCAGGTTATTGGGAAGACTTAAACAATTGCGTTTATATAGATACATATATATATGTAGTGAACTGGGAAAATAAAATACTAGTCCTGGTAATTGTTAATATTTTGGACACAACTAAATGCCTGTTGTGTATTACATCAATACAAAGACTGACACAGATCGACGCCTGGAAAAGAAGTAAATGGTACAAAATAAAACTTGCCTAATATTCAACAGTACAACCATATTGAAAGCTATGTTGCCATTGTTAAATATCTGGTCAACAGATACACTGGAATGCATTGTACTAGGAGTAGTTAATACTAGTAATGATATCTGTGGCAAAAAATTAATAATTTAATAGGATTAGATGGTCGAACTTATCACTCTAGTCAATGTATGCATGTTCTGCTTACTTGACAATATTTATTTTACATCCTAATACAATCAATATCTTTTCTTTTGTATTCCAACACAACTAGGTAATAATAAAGACGTTAATTTTTTTTTTTTTGATATCTATTAACGTATTTAAACTTACTTTAAAAAGTAACAGGTCAACTACAGTAATCTCAATTTCTGAGTGAGTTTCCTGTTAATCACATTTTTGTGATTTTTCAATTATTCTCAAACTAAAAAAATGATTCAAATTTAAGGCGTTGACTTGTTTCAATGAATAGATATTACTTCTATCGTGTAAGGTTACTTTATTTTTTTAAAATTATTTATATCAACTGGTGTAGATTAAAGATTTGAATGACAATGCAGTCAACAGGTATTCACAAACAGTGAAGTTCATTCACCTCTCCTACAGGATGATTAAACTGATGATTAGCATTGAAAAAGTAATTGATTTTAAAATCAAATCGTTATCTGCTCTGCATGAAGCATGAAGATGTTACCGTCAGGTTAGGTATTTATCTTTTGATTTCTAAACTGAAAAAAAAATAAAGATCATTTGGGTGTATATGATACGACATAATCTGTTGTATTTTCTTAAAAGAAAACTTACTGTTTTCCATTTTTTTTTTCGGGATAAATTCTGTTTTATTTTACTGAAAACTATTCATGCCATTCTAGTTATTTATACATGAAACAGTCTATTATAATTTACTGATTACCTAGAAGTGGAATTCATTTGTTAACCAACGAAACACTAAAGATAAGCTTTTTCTGTCGTTACTTACAAAAATATTTTCAGGTATGGCATTATTTATAGCTTTTTATACCCAGCTCATTAAATGTTCATTGATATCTAGGTACATAGTGTCAGGCTGTTGTAACGATTTATTCACCTTTAGCTATTAGTTAATTAAAACATCAGTCAGTGCGAAACCATCTTTGCCATTTCTAATTGCGAGAAATTTAAATGTTGTACTATAATCTATATCCAATCGGTGTATAGAATTATATATAGATATATTTATGTTACTGAACTAGAACAAATATTGATCTGTACAAACCAGCATCAGAACATGTAGGTCTAAGAGACTAACAGTACTTCTGTTCCAAATAATTAATTTTTTATATTCATCATCGAAATGAATCAATTGGTTATTTATTATACATTGAAGTATGTTTCACAAATTTGTTTTTGGTTCCCTAAAAATAATCGACCAAACATAAATATGTTTGTCTTGGATACATTGTTTTTTTTTAGCATAAATGAACAACTTCCATCACTTGGTTTGTTACATTTTTGGTACTTTGATTGAATTTTTGAAAAAAAACAAAAGCTTCAAACATAGTTTATTCAGTCAAAATAAATTCAAAACAATATGAAAGTATTTTA